GACCCAAAAGGTAAAACACCTACAGTACGTGAACCAGGTCGGACATAAAAGACCTCGGCCTGAAGAATGCCAGGGACCGACGATAACCTTTACTGAAGCCGACCTAGAGATGGTCCAGCATCCACTAATGATGCCTTGGTAGTATCCCTCCAGGTTGGGGAGTGCCAAGTGAAACGCATCCTGATTGATCAAGGCAGCTCTTGGGAATCATGTATGTTAGATGTTACAAGGAGCTGGCCTTCATCCTGATGACTTGGAGCAATCCAATGGCCCGATGGTCGGCTTCAATGAAGCCGACGTGGCCACTGGGGCGAACAAGCTTGGAAGTACAAGCCGGCCTAAGAAGATCAAGACAAAATTCATGGTGATCGACACGCCCTCGCATACAACATCATCTTGGGAAGGCCATGGTTGTATGCAATGGGGGCAGTTCCCTCAACGTTGCATAACTACTACGGTTCCCAACAGAGCATGGGATTGAAGAAGTCAGAGGAGATCAACTGCAGGCAAAGAATTGCTCCATGGCAGCAATGAAATCCACCTGCAACATTCGAGAACCGAGAAGGCAGAGATTGAAGACGAGGACATAAAGGTCCTAGAGGATGTCGGCAAGGAGCCAGCCACGAAGAGTGAAGAAGCACTGAGAAAATTTCATCTAGGAGGATGATGAGAACGTTTCTTTCTAGTCGGCTCGGGCTTAGCGAAGAAGAAGAGAGAACTGGAAACTTTTCTGAGAGCAACCTAAGGGTTTCGCTTGGACACCTTATGAAATGCCTGGCATTGACCCCGAGGTCACATGCCACAAATTAAACGTTGACAGGACAGCCAAACCCGTAATACAACGAGCCAGAAGACCAACATTGATGCACGTCGAAGCAATGAAGGAGGAAGTAGACAGATTTCTGGAGGCCAGGGCCATCAGAGCAGTCCATTATCCGACATGGCTATCAAACATTGTGGTAGTAAAGAAAAAGAATGGTAAATGGAGGGTATGCGTAGATTTTACAAGCCTGAACAAAGCTTGTCCCAAAGACAGCTTTTCTCTACCCAAGATTGACCAGTTGGTAGACGCCACATCTGGACATGGAAGGATGAGCTTCCTGGATGCTAACAAGGGATACCACCAGATAGCCATGTACCCCCCAAACGAGGAGAAGACAGCGTTTATCACCCCGAAAGGGTTGTACTGTTACAAGGTAATGCCTTTTGGGTTGAAAAACGCAGGAGCAACTTACCAAAGGTTGGTAACCAAGATGTTTAAACACCTGATTGGCCAAACAGTAGAAGTCTACATCGATGACATGGTCGTGAAGACCAAGGAACCTAAGGGTCATCTTGCCGACCTAAAAGAGGTCTTTGATATACTCAAAACATACCGGCTCCGACTCAACGCATCGAAGTGCGCGTTTGGAGTTGGATCAGGTAAGTTTTTGGGGTACCTGGTAACAAGAAAGGGCATTGAGGCTAGCCCAGATCAAATCAAAGCCATGCTAGAGCTGAAAAGCTCGACGTCGGAAAAACAGGTTCAGATGCTTACTGGAAGGGCCGCGGCCCTAAACAGGTTCATAAGCCGAAGCTCAGACAAATGTAAACATTTCTTCAACCTGGTGAAGAAGGCCACGGACTTCCTATGGACTGAGGAATGTGAGGCCGCTTTGGCCGACCTAAAGAAATATCTGACCACGGCTCCAGTCCTCTCAACACCTGAACTTGGGGAAGAACTGTTTTTGTATTTAGCAGTTTCAGAACACGCAGTAAGTGCAGTGCTAATCCGAGAGGAAAAAGAGGAGCAAAAGGCTGTTTATTATGTAAGCAAAACCTTGGCCGATGCAGAAACAAGGTACCTACCACTAGAGAAATTAATACTGGCCTTAGTAATGGCTTCAAAAAAGCTGAACCATTACTTTCAAGCGCACAAGATTATAGTGCTAACAGAGCACCCACTGAAGTCCTTGTTACAACCAGGAGACTTAACTGGAAGAATAGCAAGATGGGCAGTGGCCTTGGGCCAATACGACCTGGAGTTCAGGCCGAGAACAGCAATTAAGGGCCAAGTTTTGGCCAACTTCGTGGCCGAATTCGTGCCAGAATCCATCAAACATCGGACTCCGTTGAGCGAAGATGAACGATGTCCAAGCAAACAAGGAGAAGCCCAGCCAAAAGTAAAAGAACAAAGAAAGGAAAAACTCAGACCCTGTAGCATTTACATCGGCGACTCCTTTCGTCTGTTTGTCGATGAGAGCTCAAACCGGCAAGGAACGAGGGCAGGAGTAGTGTTAATATCTCCTGATGGGGAGATATTGGAACAGTCCATTCGATTAGGGTTCAAGGCCTCAAAAAATGAGGCAGAATACGAAGCATTGATTGCAGGACTAAAGCTAGCAGTGGCAGCAGAAGTAGATGAGATAATAATTTTTTGTGATTCACAACTTATAGTGAATCAGACAACAGGAGAGTTTGCAACCCGAGATGAGAGAATGTCGACATATGCAAAGGAAGTTATCAGGTTGGCAGCTTTGTTTCGTAACTGCCGACTTCTTTAAGTTAGCCGAGATGATAACAGCCACGCCGACGCATTGGCCAACTTGGCAAGTTCAATACAAACTGGAAAAACAAGGACAATAATGATTGGCTATTTGTCAGGCCCGAGCATAGAACCACCGATCACAGAACAAGAAACAATGTGTGTGGACTTGAGACCAAGCTGGATGGATGCAATTGTTGCGTTCCTAAAAAAGGAAAAGCTGCCAGAAGACCATAAGGAAGCATACGAGGTCAGATTGAAGTCGGCAATATTCAATCTGACAGCGGACGGACATTTCTACAGAAGGTTCTTCACTAGACCCCTTTTAAGGTGCGTACACCCTTTGCAGGTTGAAGATTTTCTATATGAAATTCATGAAGGGATTTGTGGAAGCCACACTGGGGGCAGATCACTAGCTCACAGGGCCATTACCCAGTGGTATTGGTGGCCCTACATGCAAAAAGATACAGAAGCCTACGTGAAGAAGTGTGAACAATGCCAAAGGTTCGCACCTTTGATACACCAGCCAGCTGCTGACCTGAACCCTGTATTCAGTCCATGGCCATTTGCCCAATGGGGCATGGATCTCGTTGGGCAGTTGTCCCAAGCAACAGGGCAAAAGAAGTACTTGCTGGTAGCAACAGATTACTTCACGAAGTGGATAGAAGCAGAACCTCTTGCCAAAATCTGAGATGTGGACGTCAAGAACTTCATATGGAGAAACATCATCACCAGATTTGGCATTCAAAGAGCAATAGTTGCCGACAACGGAACACAGTTTGACAGCAAACTCATCAAGAACTTCTGTGCGAAATTCAAGATAAAGAATTACTTTTCCACACAAAGTTTTCCCCAAAGCAATGGGCAATTAGAAGCATCCAACAAAGTAATTTTGGATGGGATAAAGAAGAGGCTGCAGGCAGCAAAAGGAAAGTGGGTAGACGAGTTGCCCAATGTACTCTGGGCATATCGGACTATGCCGAGATGATCAATAGGGGAAACCCCCTTTGCCATGGCTTACGGCACAGAAGCAGTCATCCCACTGGAGATCGGCATCCTAGGGATCAAAACCCAGGGAGTAGAGAATGAGACTAATGATATACTTCTAGCCCGAGATCTGGATCTCTTAGAAGAAAGAAGGGAGAAAGCTGCAATTCAGCTCGCAGCATACCAGCAGCAACTTGCTAGAGCTTACAATAAGAAGGTCAATCCAAGGGATTTTCAGGTCGGCGACGTAGTCCTAAGAAAAGTTGTTGGCAACAAGAAGGATCCCAGAGAGGGCAAGCTTGGCCCAAACTGGGAAGGACCCTACAGAATTACTTCGGTATTGGGCAATAGAGCATACCGGCTTGAAGATAATGAGGGCAAAACATTGCCAAGACCCTGGAACACTTGTAATTTGAAATTTTTCTATCATTAGATGTTCCTTGTTATTTTTTGCCGACGTCATCAATAAAATCTTAGCAGAATTCTCCTAGACTTGTGAATTGATATAAGATGCATAATGTTATTTCTGAATAATGAGAACCCAAGTGGAACTTAGGTTCACATCGGGGGTAGAGAGAAGACAAAAATGCTTAACGCTTGTTGAAATTTGTAACAATTTACAAGTTGAAATTAAGCCGAGATTATTGTTTATTTTCACTTGTTTAAATTTGTAGCAATTTATAAGTTGAAGTTAAACCGAAGTAATGCTTAACGCTTGTTGAAATTTGTAGCAATTTACAAGTTGAAGTTAAGCCGAGATTATTGTTTATCTTCACTTGTTGAAATTTGTAGTAATTTGCAAGTTGAAGTTTAACCGAAGTAATGCTTAACGCTTGTTGAAATTTATAGCAATTTACAAGTTGAAGTTAAGCCGAGATTATTGTTTACCTTCACTCGTTGAAATTTGTAGCAATTTACAAGTTGAAGTTAAATCAAAGTAATACTTAACGCTTGTTGAAATTTGTAGCAATTTACAAGTTGAAGTTAAGCCGAGATTATTGTTTATCTTCACTTGTTGAAATTTGTAGCAATTTACAAGTTGAAGCTAAACCAAAATCATTGTTTGGCACTTGTTATAAAGAAAAGTTTACAAAATAGAAATTAAAACAGTATATGTTAATCCTTATTGGAATTTGTAAGCAATTTACAGGACAAGTACTTGCCGAGGTAAATCGTCAGGTGGCATAACCGAGGTGTGTCACCCCGAGAAGATTGCACAAAGAAGGAAGAGTACATAAGACATGCAAAATATTCTAAATATAAAATCATGCAGAAGTAATAAAGAGAAGACAAGAGTGCAAGCACTTAGAAAAAAAGAAAGTTGTATTAGCATTCACCAAGAAAAGGGCACATCGGCCTTACAAAGGCTTATATTGTTCCAAAAAGATAAAGAAGAAACAAAATACAAGTAAGCAAAAGAAAAACATGAAGCTAAGACTCCTCTCCACCAGTTGGTTGAATTTGAAGATCAGATGTTTGTTGAGAAGACATCTTAGTAGCCTTATTCGCCGCGACCTCGGCGTCAATTTCTGCAAGAGTGTCATCAAGGTTCTTATCAGCAAGGGTGACATCGGTTGATTCCTTCACATAAGCAGCGTCTTTGTTAACCTCATCGCCTTCTTCATCCTGAGTCAAGTCTAGGGCTTGCTCATTCTGAAGAAGGGACTTGGCCCCATCCGCATCTTTAGATTTTCTTACCAAAGCCTCATCCTCTTCCTCATCACCATCTTCAGACTCAGATTCGCCGACATCTTGACTTGGAGGTTGAGCTGGAGGAAATGGAAGAGGAATGGCATCAACTTTCCTCGGTGGTGAGTCCTCTGGGACATTAAGTTTCTTTAGAAGGGACATCCAACCAAGGGTGAAACCCTTGTTGCATGCCTCCTTCACCTGTTGTTCGTAGGCATCTGTGACGTCGGCCATGCCTTGGGCATACGCCTTATCGTCAACGTCTTTTATTTCAGTTTCTTTGGTGGCCAGTGCCTCCTGAAGCTCCTTTTCGGCTTGGACCATTTTTTCCTCAGCTTCTCTCTTCTGAGACTCAGCCACTTTCCTGATGGCCTCAGCAGCCTTAGCCTTCTCTTCGGCATTGGTCTGAGCTTTGATTGCAGCCTTGGCTTGGTCTTCTAGTTTTTTCATCTTTGATTGAAGACCTTTGTTGGTCTTTTGGAGGGAAGAGAACTCCCTCTTCATCTCGACAAGCCTCTCCTGATTCTCAAAAAATTGCATTGAGAAAGAGTGGGCATGCTGGATGGCCTGAAAGAAAACAGAGGTATTAGAGAATATTCAAAGTACGAAATAAAGAGAAAGAAAGAAGAAAATTACCAAATAGAAGACATCTACCTGAACAGAGTGCTGAAGCATTAGAGCATATTTCTCATACTCACTGTACTGGGTGTTTAGCTCCAAAGCGCCTGGTAACAGCAGAGCAGTGCTAAGCGCAACGTCGACATTAATATCCTCGGCACTGTCACTTGCCATAACAGGCTTGTCTTCCAGAGTAATTGAGGGGGCCTAGGGGGCATCAGGTTTTTTTGATCCTGAGGTTGTTGCAGAAGAAGACCTCGGCTTTTTTGGTTTTTGGGATTCTGGTGGTTGAGACTCAAAGCGCCTCTTCCCAGCAGAAGGCTGAGATTTATCACTCTCAGCTAACTTTGAGATAGGCAAGGTGTCTTCAGATTCAACCTGAGCTATCTTAGCCTTTGGTTGAGCCTTCTTTATTCTTTTCGGTTTCGGTGGAGGTTGGGTTTGTGCTGGTTGATCGTCAATAGATGATGGAATGCTGGCCAGAAGATCTTTTGCAACTGGTTTTGGGCGGCCCATCTCGGCAGTAAGGACAAGTCGTCGCCGACGTTTTCGTTCGGATATTGGGACCAAGTATGGAGCCGAAGTTGATGGCTGATCAACTGGATCGGATGTTGATCCTTGATCTGTTCGTGATGTGGATGCAGTCAATGGAGTTGTAGTAGAGGGTGGAGAAAAGCTTTTCTTCTTCTTTTTGGGAACGTCGGACAAAGTTGACTTATATGTTGGAATAAAATTGAGAAGCATAGGTGCTTTCCTTTTATGGACTGGCAAGTCCAGAAGTTTCTTCAAATCCTTACTGGGAACAAAGGATTGGCGAAAATTTTTCAGTGGCTTATGAACAGCTGCAAGAAGAACAGACGTCAGAAACAGACAAAGTATTTAAGACTTTGAAAGAAAACAGGCAAAGCTGAATACTGGGCTCTTACCCTTGCCCTCTAAAACTGATCGAGGAAGAGGGTAGAGATGGATGTCCTCGTCTGGAGCAAACTCCCAATTTCCCGAGGTAATGAAATAGTCATCTCCAGCCCCCTTGTTGAAGTCTGGGAGGTTGGCTACGATTTTGAATTCTGTAGACCTCGGCTTAAGGTAATAAATGTAGCATTTTTCTTTCAAATTAAAGGCACACATGGTATAGCAGTACTGGATATCGGCTAGGGTGATCCTAGCGTTTTCCTGTTTAGCGAAGGTAATGACACCATGGATCACTCGATAAGAGTTAATGGCCAGTTGTATGGGGTTCAACTTATAGTAGTGGAGAATCCCGCGAAAAAGTATGTTGAGTGGAAGCCGGAGTCCGCACTCAGTGAAAGCCACAATGGGAAAGGGCATTGAATCATCTGTGGGCATGATGGAGTCATCGTCTCCAGCTAGCCTCAGATGGACATCGGCAGGAATGGAGAACTCTTGCCTAAAATACTCAAGTTTAGTCGGGGTGTCTACCCTATGTCTCCACATACCCATGATACCAGCCTGAATTAGAAGGGTTGAAATTCAGAAAGAAGATGTTTTTTATTGATGAGACCTCGGCAAAAATCTAGGTAAAGTACTAGTTCCAGTTTTTTTTCTAAATTATGGGTTCTGCACAACAAATTCCAAACCTAGATCTATGAAAGCAAGGGTTGAAGGCACGGATCTGGAAGACAGAAAGGCAAAGACGTGCTTTAGAATCAACAACAGGGATGGGATATCAAGAGCATAAAGAATACGAGAAATAAATGGTCAAGAACAGTAACAAGAAAGCAACAAAGTGGTGAACAGTATGTATTCAAGATATGGGCAAGATCAAAACCATTTGAATAAATATGTTAAGATATGTGATTCGCAAGATTTGAAACAAAAATGGCAATAAGTAATGAAGAATATCTACAGAATTGAAAACGAAAGGAATAGTGGCTTACCAGAAAAAAGTGAAGCTGGTATGAAGATTGCCGAAGTCAGACGACAGTTACAGATGTAACAAGAATGATGAAAGCTTCACAGGAAGGGAGAACGGAAGGCAGTTGCAGAGCTTGAGGACTGGAACAATGGCGTATTCAGGAGCTAGAGAGAGAAAAAGCGAAGAGAAATCGAATGCAAAAGTGAAAAATGAAGAAAGGGGGAAAAGTTTTGTCAAAAAATTTGAAACGGCGGCAAAACGGAGCATTGAATGCGCCTGGAACAACGCACACGTCAGACGGCGCACACAGACGCAAAACGGCTTGCAAGCGCGTAATGGGCACGGTCTAATAAGGTGGAGACGTGTGAATGAAACGATTGAGTAAATGATACGTGACAACTCACATACGTGAAAGAATTCACTGGAATTCTTGTTCTCTGAAGAAAACATGTCGGCCTGAAATAAATGATCTCGGCTAAGGAGTTCTTGAGCCGATATACAGGAGGAAGTACCGATATAGGTTCCATCACCTCAAAATGCCGAGGTAATAGAACCTAGGGGGCAGTTGTGGGGATATATTTTCTGAGTACCAACACGTGGCAAGGTGATGCCGATGTGTCAGCTGAGGTGCCACGTGTCCTGGTCATTATGCCGAGGTTATCTCGGAGTTGCCGAGGTTATCTCCGAAGATATCGAAATCTGAGATAAGCGGATAAGGGATAAGAGTCCTAGAATGAAGAGGAGACTTAGTCAAGATGAGGATAAAGCTCTTAGGGAGTTTATCTTTATCGCTTGAGGAGTCCAAAGTAAGTACTGAATTGGAGTCCATAGAAGTCAGGCTTCTAGTGGGACTAGGATTGAGTAAACTATAAAAGAGAGGCACCCCCGTGGGTCTAAGGTACGCAATTTATGCTTTGAGCAGTGAGTTTAGCACTTGATTATCTTTGAGAGATATACTGACTTGATTGTTGGAGTGCCCCCGAGTGGACGAACCATTGCCGGAATCTTCTCTTTCTGTTGCAGGTCAGCCAGGTGCCATCTATTCTGCCGGTGCTCTCCAGCTGGTTACTAAGCGGGCAGTGTGATCAGAAAATCACCCACACAGGACCCATGCGTCAAATTTGGCAGGTCTAAGTGATAACACGTTCTATGCTGCGTTGTGATTCATGTGGTACATTTAGTTGTTCAAAATCATTATCGGGTGAATGGGAAATTGAAACCAAAGAGAGCTCCATGGAAATGGTGTTTTTGGTGAAATTTCCTAAATGTTTGAATAAAGGCTTGTTCCACATTGATTTGGTGAGAAACTTTGAGTGGGTTTATAAGGGCTTGGGGTTGGAACTTGAGGTAGGTTCCAAGGGGCACCCAAGTTTTGTAGAGAGGGAGGTTATGGGCAAAGTGGACTAGACCTATTGGACCCAAAATAAACACCCGTACGACACCGTCCGATTGGGCTGGACTTGGGCGTGTGGTGTGTGGTTGGACTTGTCCAGCCCAATACCTATCTTTTTGGGCCAAAAAACATTAGAATTTTATTTTCTAAAATTAAATTCTAATTTTTTGTATCTGTTTATTCAAAGCGAACAGGTACCATACATGTTCATTCAAATCTATACAGCCACAAAATCATCTATAAATAAGACATGCCCTCATTTGGATTTTTTATTCACAATTTTCATTCTTCTCCTTTGCAATAAATTTCTGCATTTTGCTGCATTAAATTTCTGCGAGAAAGAGTGCAAACACTTAGTGTGTTCGTTGTGCAAACAATTTGTAGTGCTGCTATTGTTTGCTGTTGATCATTTTATCCTGAGAGATAGACGTCCATATTCTGAAAGTACCGTGAAGAGGATGAATCTGTCTTAAGGACACAGTGTTAAATATTAGACTTGATTAGAAATTTTGTTCAAGAAATTAATTTGGTAATTAATTAATTTATTTTCTATTTTATTATTTTTTTGTTTCAGATTTTCATTTTGTTTTTGTAACAAAATAAAAATCTATTTTATTTTATTTTATGATTTGATTTTTGTAATCAAACAAACTCTTTCATTTCTTTTATTTCTTCTGTATTCAGTTTGTTGTTAAGTACACAAACAAAATTTATTTTTCTAAATACAGTGAAGATTGTCCAATAATCTCAAGACAAAATATTTTTTTGGTGTCTTCATTGTATTTAATTTTTTGTGTTTTCATAAAGTGATATTTTGGTTAGAAAATACAAATAGTAGTAATATACTGTTTATTTTTTTTGGGACAACTAGTAGTAATATACTGGTGTCATTAACAATTGCAGAATATTAATTTGTGTTACAGAAAATTATTATGGTATTTTATTTTTCTACTTTTAGTAACAAGGAAAATAAAATTATTTTGTATTATAATTTATTTTCTGGTTTGAGTTACTAGAAAATTAATTTGTGTTTTGATTTTTTTTCTGATTTTTGTAATCAGATATTATGGCTACTGAAAGTAGTGCTCCAAATCCAATCGTTACAACGACTCCGGTCCCTAGCCAGAACTATGTTCAAGTACCAATAAATTATGGAGAAAAAAGGAAAAAATTTAATGGCATTGAGTTTAAAAGATGGCAGTAGAAAATTCTATTCTATCTTACAACTCTAAATTTGGCCTGGTTTCTCCGTGAAAAGGCTCCAGTACTTAGAGAAGATGAAAGTGATTAGCAAGTTGTTGCCGCTGTAGATGCTTGGAAACATTCTGATTTCCTGTGCAGAACATCTTCAATGGCCTTGACAACATGCTGTATAATATTTACAGCCCTCTGAAAACAGCAAAAGAATTGTGAGATTCTTTGAAAAAAAAATACAAGACAGAGGATGCCGGCACAACAAAATTTGTTGTCGGTAAATTTTTGGACTTCGTTATGGTAGACTACCAAACAGTAATTTCTCAAGTTCAAAATTTTCAATTAATTTCGCATGATATTCATTCTAAA